CACAACAGCCTCCTCCAACGCGGCCCCAACATCCACCCGATCCAAAAACAGATCGGAACTTGGAGCCTCGACCGAGACCAGGTTCTCTATCATAACCATCCGCCACCGGCAAACTCGACGCCTCTGAAAACTGCAAGAATAGTTCTGGGGCCGCCGCAGGAATGAGTGTTTGTTGCAAGAACATAGCGTACCCCAGTTATTGCTCCCTGTCCCCGCGGCCTACCCCGGGACCTTTGAGGTTGATTGCCTTTCTTGCAGCCATGTGTGCAGTAAGTTTTTTTTTTTTTAATAGCTTTCTTTTTTAGTATAATTGTGCGTATGAACAAATTCCATAGATTTCAATGGTCATAGAGGAAAAATACTGGGAAAAAATAGAATCTTGAGCTATGCACAAACACACACACACACACACCCACACACACACATTTTTGGCGTATGAGAAATAAGTTGTGAGCTGGGCAACCTACCAGAGCTCACATTTGTGTAAGAACTTTTAATTTTGCCACCAATATGTTTGGATTAAATTTCTAAGAGACATACGTCTTATTCTTATGGATTTAAAAAAACTTTCTTCCTAATGATTCTGTTTTGTGCCTTAGCCTGAGAAATTCATAGTTTAATTAGTTTTCTTTTGTGTATAGATTTCTGTAATTTTTTTGTTCCTCGGGATTATTCAAAGGATTAAATTGTTTATTTAGGTTTGTGGCTCGGAATTCAGGGTTAGATGCTGTCAATTTGTTATTTTTTCATTGATTCTTTGATAATTATATGATTTTCTTATACTGAATGGGAAATTTTATTTTTACTCATTGTTTTTTTTCCGTTTTTTTTTTTTATTATTTTAATAAGGACTTAAAAGAAGAAAGTTTCGAACTAATGGTCACTTGCTTTACAGATTCAAGCAATGCAGAATGCCAGAAGACCTGGAGTGGTGTGATCATTATGTTGGTTCTGCTCTGGCTTGTACCCGATATATGGCGACCAAAGGTTTGTTGCTTTTTGCTCTTCTGGTGACTTACGTATTTATTTTGAGTCCATAAATTTCACGAGCACTTGGTGAATTTCAGATTTGCGGCCTGCAATTTGATGGTTTTTCCTTGAAAGATAACAAAAAGGAGAAGAAATGTTTAAGATGGTGATTCTTCTGTTCATGGCGATTTAAGACCAAAAAGGTTGATTTCAGGTGTGAAGATATGCTCTTAGGTAGAGTTGGTGCTGGTTTATAATTCCTTTTGCCTATATCTTTACGGTCTTCTTGATATGTTAATTTATTGTAGAAACTCACATGGTAAATATATTTCTTTATATGTCCTTTAGCAAATGGCAGATGGCGGTATACTATCTGAGGCTAACTGGCTTCTTCATTTGGACCTTATGCCTAATTCAGCAACTAGAGACGAGTAAACTTCTAAATTCTCCATTATATTAAATTAAATATCGTTTTCTATATGTGTGTGCGTTTTATTTTGTCTAAGTATGATTTTTGTGTGAACTCTTCCAACATAAAGTTGCAGAGTGCAAAAGTTTTGATGTGTTTGTTGTTAATATATATACTTTTAGGCTACGTATGTTCTATTAATGTCCAGTGAGTTATGCTCAAGGTTTCTGCCATTTTATGTATGAGTTTGTCAAAAAGCATCTCGGTAACTTATATCTGTTGCAGGTTGAGTCTGTTAGAGAAATCGGTCCTGGATGAACTTCAAAAGTCCGGCTATCGTCGATGTTTGTAAACTTTTTATCCATCAGTAAATTAAAACTATTAAATTAAGACGATTATATCAGTAGAAGGCATTCGGTCAAGGTAATGTCTCACTTATTTATCTCCATTTATTTCTTTTAATTTGGGAGTTGGTACCATTGACTTGCCAGGATGATCATTCATGTACTAAAATATGTTATTGTAATGTACTATTTATTTTATCCAACCATCGAATAAATGTAAATTTGCTTTCTCACGAGCACACTGATGAGAATTGTGAATAAAGTGGCTTAAATTGTGCATGTAAGTTATTTTGTATATGATGATTCACAGAACTTCCGCACAACTGCGTCAGACAGTACTTAATCAAATCTTTATTACGAAAATAGTGATTACTTCCATGATACAATGAACGTGATTCTTGTCATGAAGAGTTCGAACAAAATGCCGAGAAATTGCACATATATGACCGACATTATCAACCACCTTCTGCACCACCTCATTTGCCTTAATGGAAGATTTATTTATTTATTTTATTTTTACTTAATAAATTAGCATTGTTGAATATTTTAACAAGTTATACTCCTTACTTTATAATGGATTGATATCAAGTAATTTCAATTTGGTTTTAGAAATGTTGTCAAAATTTATGTATTTGTAGTCTTATGAGGCAAGCAAATATATGGATAAGATTTAACACATTTAAAACTGCATTATTTTTGGGAACGAGAAGAATAATAAATATTTGGGGATATCGACTAAACTCGAATTGATGTCAAGTCATTTGAAGCTAAATTTATAAATGCCATAAAATGTAGGTATGTGTTTTTAAAATTTTCTTAAATATTAGATACCATGAGGAACTGACAGTCAGTGGATACGACCTCCCTTTTAATCGCCACTCTGGAAGTTCAGAAGGCAACGTAGGTAGTTGAGATGCGCGGCGCAAAGGACCAAGCAATGTGCTATGCCGAAGACCTGACGAAATAGTAGATGTCATGCGCAAAAGATTGAACTTCTTTCTGACAAGCTGGCCCAATTGAGATCTGCACTTGACTCTTTACTTCAACTGTATCAGTATAAATTTAATTGATTATTTCAAATAAATTTAAATTTTATACTTCAGTTGACTATTTCAAATAACGACAAATTTTAAGTCGATTATAGACTAAATTTGAGCTGGCTGTTTGCATTTTTTCTACATTTATACTTGCCAAAAAAATAGGTATGTGTATTTTTAAATATTGACAAATATTGATTATAATTATAGACTGGACTAGAGCCGGCTGTGCGTGCACAGCCATCCGGCCAACTAATTTTAAATATAAAAAAATAAAAAAAGGTTAACAACATTATTCAACATTGTCGCTTGCATTTATTATTGAGCTATAATTTAGAGAAATGTCATACACTATGAAATTACTGATAAGTATATACAATTATTATTATCCCCCCTATATATTAATCCAGAACACGCTGAGCCTACGTGGCTGCTTTTGGTGCTTCGAAATCTTATGTGGCAAAATTACATGCTTCGTTATTAGGTTTGGGTAAATTTTAATTTAATTCCAAACTAAAAATAATTATGTTCGGATTACCATAAATATGTTGATTATTTATGGTCATGTTACATGTATTAATTGCATTTTAATATCATTTCTTATTATAACTATTGAATTGTATATATATTTTAAAAGTTAATAACTTTTGTATTTTTTATCAGTTTTATATATGTAATATATCAAATTAATCTTCCTTTGATGAGTTTTGATTTAACATCCATATTGTATGTATAAAAAAAAAATAATTTATATTTATTTTTGTAACAATAATAAAATTATTTTTAATATTAATTAGAAAAATAAAATTATTTATCAACTAATATATTTATATTTCAAGTAGTTATATGATATAAGTTATAAAAATTAATATAATATAACACATATAAGTTATAAGTAACACATATCATTCTAAAATATATAGTAATATATTTTTTTGTAAGAAAGTAAACTAAATTTAATATAGTTTTCTCATTAATTTTAAAATTTAAGAATACTTTTTTAACAAACACCCGTGTAATACACGGGTGTCGTACTAGTTATACATATAAAATAAATAAAAATATTATATATTAATTAAATCGGTTCGACCGCTAGTCAGACCCGTGAACAATTGAACCTGTAACATTATCAATTCGATGATCGATTCGATTTTCAGAACCATGTATATAAGAAAGTGAATCATAGCAAAATTAATTTATAGAGGATATAGCGATATTCAAGATTCGACACTCTTTGAGATCTGATACATTGGGTGAAAATATATTTTGGATGTATATATAAAAATATACAATATTAAATTTAAGGAATCTTCATTTCAAAATGAAAGCTTACCAAGACAAGTCATCATTAATGGTGGAGGTAGTTGCGCATAAGGCTGTTCCGGTCCGGGAAAGTTCTGGACGTCTCGTTGTGTTAGATAGGTGGCAATAATTAATGCCAAATAACTACCGAAAGAAAATAAAACCTAATGAATAAATATGAAACTGGGAAAAAAATAGGTGGGCAAGATCATAGTTTTTTTACTCGGACCAGCCAGGCGCGTCGACTCAGTACCCGATCAACCAGAGTCGGAACCAGTCCGGAGATTGATTATTTGGGCCAGACAACAAAGGCCCCGGTCAAACTCGAACCAACCCTTGACCTAAGACATTGACCCAGTCGGGTCAACTTGACCCGGCCTATATATTTTTTTTTATTATTTTTTTATTATTTTTGTTTTTAAAAATAAAACTATGTATGTATGTTTATATGACAAATATTTATCATGAGATATATATTATTAACATTTTAATGTATGTATGTACATTTAATTTTGTTACTTTTATGTATATTTACATGACAAAAATATTCTATATATAATTTTAAAAGTTTTAAAATTAATTATTCAGTTCAACAATTGACCCAGTGACCCGACAAGTGAACTGATGACCCAGTGATATTAAGACCTATCCGAGCCGATTACCAGGCCGAATTTAAAAACTACAGGCAAGATAGGCATATATGAGAGGAGAGTTATCTAAAGAATAAAGGTGGCGACTTCAAACGTGTGGCCTCACAAGAAAGCCACCTCCTCAAGCCCCAAATTTTTGCCCGACACTTGCAGCCGTTCTCGGCTCCTTCCTCCTCTGCTCCCAACCAACAGAGGGGAATTTAAAGTTGAATTTCTAGGGTTCCATAATCTGAACATTCTTCCAATAATCGAATCGAAGAAAACCTAGGAAAGATTCGCCGGAGGATCTATGGGTGGTGGCAACGGCCAAAAAGCCAAGATGGCGCGGGAGAAGAATTTAGAGAAAACGAAAGCTTCCAAAGGTTCGCTTCCTCCTTGATTTCTTTGTTTTGATTTTGTTTTTCGCAAAACTGTTTTACATTGTCTGTGTGTTCTGATTCGCCGCCCGATCCGTGCAGGAAGCCAGTTGGATTCTAACAAAAAAGCCATGAATATTCAGGTAGGCGATTTTTTATTTAATTTATTTTCAGTTTTAAGTGTTGATTGATTTTTAGCTGATCTACGTGAGGTGGTACTTTTGTTTTCCTTTTATTGATGTGGTTTACTTCGATATCAATTCTTGTAATTTCGTTAACTTTGATGAATTGCCGGTGTGGGGATTGTATGTAAACTGTGTAAGATGAGATGTTTCGTTGATTGCATTTATTAGATATAATACCACTTGTGTTGTCCGACATCGTTTATATAGAGAAAATAGACCGAACTTATAAGTCTAATGGGCTACTCATTCTTTCACCAATTGGTTTTGGGATGAAAACTCACTTGGGCTTCATTTGCGTTTTCCCTGCTTTGGTGTGCGGGCGTGAGACCGCACCCGTTTTGTCCCTGTTTCTTACAGCCTTGGACAACTAATGTTTTAATTTTCTTTTTTTTTTTTTTTTTTATTAACCATCATAAGAGATAGCTAGATGGGTCTGCAATTACATCAGTCAGCCTAATACTGGGTGCATGTATGTATTTGTTTAAATTAGAATGCAGTTCATGCATTCTTTAGTATCTTAATGAATATCTGGGCAAGTTGTCATGAAAGCTGCTGCTTTGATTCAATAGCTGAATTTCTTCTTGGTCTCCAAGAACTCCATTTTGAGTCTTGGCTAAGAGCATCTTCGGTGCACAATGTCCATTTTGAGATGTATGGCATGGAGAAAGGAAAATAATAAATTGCGTCTTCAATGGTTAATTTTAATTGTGGAATAATTTGACAGGCCTAAAATATTAATTTCTAGGGAAAGAGAGAGATAAACGAAAAAATTGTACATATAATTGTTGGGAAATAAGGTCGGATAAGATGGAATAATAACAACACACTAATGTGAAAT